CCTCAGGCAACTTGGATATCGTTCGCCTAAGGTCGTTGCCAATTAACGCTGTAAGTAATGTACCACGAAATGGATTGCAGATTCTGAAGCCTCGTCAACCACTGAATCTGGGGCCTTCAGCGTGAGGACTGATGCATGTAGGTCAACAATTTGTCTGGCGCGTACAATGGAATCCTTAAGGATCGATATTTACTTCGTTTCGGAGATTCCAATTCAGGACCCCACTACTATACGCCACTTGAGCTCGCCAGATACGTTCTTCGCACATCAAGCGACGACGGAGCCCGCTCAGTAGGCCGGCGCTAGGTGGGTATTGTACTTAGTAACAGGACTTAGTCCTCTCTTATCGATTGGATCCCCGTCAATAGTCGTTTATGTGCAGTTCGTCTCCAAGGCTCAGTCAACGTCCGGAAGGGAAGCAACACCAAAGGGTGTTTGTTCATCGTACCAGCATATGCTCCGATCAACTGCAGTTCGCATACAAAAAAGGACGCTTTCTACGATAAACTCACCGATTTAATTTGGATGAGTCGAAGCGCCGACATAGTTGCACTTTCAGGTGACTTTAACGCGCAGGTTGGAAAACTGAACACATTAGAAGCTTGCAAAGGTGGTAGTTGTGCTCTGCCCTGCCAACGAACCGATAACGGCTATCGGCTTCTTCAGTTTTGCGCCGACCATCATCTGTTCCTATCCAGTACCAACTTCCGACACAGCTCTCAACGGACGGCAATATGGCGCTTCAGTTCAACTAGTACGCTAAATCAAATCGACCACATAGCAGTAAGCTACCGTTGGCATGACTCAGTGCACAATTGCAGGTCCTATTGGACCACCTGCGTTGAGTCTGACCACGCATAAGTTCTGATGCAATTCACTCTTCGACTGATTGGTCGACGACAAAACCGGCAAAATCGAATAGCTCATCGTCGACTGTCTGTTCCTACAGTTCGTGCACCGTATGAATCAGAGCTAGTGCACGCTTTAAAGTGATGATTTAGGTGAGCAGTGGAATCAAATTAGGCAAGGAATGCATTCCACAGCGAATTTTGCTTGTGGGTCTGTGCCTCAAGCCCGACGGAGGCATCGGATATCTCATGAGTCAGTAACAATGATCGATCAAAACCGACGAATCCCGACCTGCTAGGATCAAAATGGGGTTAGGTGGCGTCTGCAACGTTGGTTGACGAAGAGCCTCGTGAAAACAAGTGGGTAACAGTAGCTAGTGAAATGGAAGTAGCAGCTGCATCAGGGTATAGTCAAAGACTGTTCCTACTGATACGCAATACGGGAGGTCGGTGAACCCCAGTTGGTGAAACAGTCAGCGATAAGAGTGGACAAGCTATTCACAATAGAAATCAACGACTTGGTCGCTGGAATACTTCAGCGAACAGTTCAACTAGCCTGCTGCTATACAGGTCACTTCTGTAACTGAAGCTCCATGGGGAGTCGTGCGATTCTCCAACCGAAGCAGTACTT